AGAGGCGAGCTTGGACTATGGGTGTAAGATGAGAAAAAGGAGCAGAGAGAGGAAGAGAACAGAGAAGAGATATGTGAATATCTAAAACTTAGAAGAATCAGTAAGAGGTCATTTTTAGTTTGCAAAATATTTCCTAACAATTGCTTTAAGAAAAACACTTAGAATTTTTAAGCTGCTTATCTTCTCTAGTGATTAAATTAATCTCTAAATTCATTTTAGGGAGCTCATTATTAGATGAATTATCTCATAGCAATCTCATGCATATGTATTGTGCCAAAGAGGTAAAAATTTATCAAGCCTCACAAAGGAAGCTGATGAGCATTCTGTGGTTTGACAATCTGCATTCTGAGCAGGAGCCAGGGCCTAAGTTCACCACATTTCAGGGGAATTCAGATTTCCTGAGAAGGGGCTGAAAAACATGCACTCCCTGTGATGGCAGAGGAGGCTAGGGCTAGAAGCCAGGTTACCAAATCCCTGTGTGGAACACGTGGGCAGATGTGAAAAGTGGGAGGAATGTTCAGACATCTCCTAGCCTCCTAGTGAAAATACCGTCTCCTAGTGAAAATACCAATGCAAACTTGCCACCATAGCAACACACTACCCCTATTAAAAGACACACAAAAAATCTGTGTCAATGAATTTAAAAACTCCACTTTTTGCTAGTAAGTAAAGTTTTGCATCTATTTTTGCTGGCTTCTTAACAGAAACCCCCTGTCAAAATATTTCAATTCCTTGATAACCCTTTCTAGTACAGAGGCAAACATTTTAGGAATATAATCTGTACTTAAAGAAGATAATTCTCTTGTGACTCTAAAAGGGAGAAAAATGAAGAAAATATAAACTAATAAGAAAGACCAGGTGGGGTGACTCATCCCTGTAACCCCAGCACATTGAGAGGCTGAGGCAGAAGGATCACTTGAACCCAGGAGTTTGAAACCAAACTGGGCAACATAGTGAGACCTCATCTCAAAAAAGAAAGAAAGAATATGGCTTTAAGGTTTCTTGTCTTGGCACCAAAATGAAATGAGTGATGAGTGGGTGGAGGGCTGGAGTTACTATGGGTAGTGCGTGGGGGAGATAAGAAGGGATTGCCCTAAAGATATGTCAGGTCTCTTTCTAAAGAGTAGGACTGAGACCAAGGAGAAGGAAGTGAGTCATACAAGCACAGGGTCAGATCCTGTCTTCATTAAAAATGTGGTATTTTGATAATAATTGGTTTTCTTGCATTCATTTTAATTCTTTAAAATATTATATGAAAATGTTATTTTATTAATTATTTTTGGTGCTCCTTAAAATTTGTACCTGATCTGTCAATTCATCCTAGTTCCTGCCCTGCTAACATTAATAAATGAGAAAAAATATTTATAGTTCATATTAGATCTTGTTTGCATTCTGAACTCTACTTGGAAAGCAAAACAATGTTCTCTAGGTCCACGGGTCCCAAGCTTTACCTCCTGTGGTTTCCCAAGGCCAGGATGTGTGGAACTGAACATTTTACAATCTGGGGGAGACAACACAACTTTATGTTTTCTTCCCTCTGGCTGCTTTGAAGATTTTCTTTTTATTTTAAACAATTTGATAACATTATGCATTCATGAAATCTTCTTCTTGTTTCCTAAGCTTGGTATTGGTTGAGCTTCAAATCTGTGAGTTTATAGCATTAGACAAATTTAAATCTAAAAAAAATTATTTAAATATTTTTTCTGTCTTCACATTTTCCTGATGGAAAATAATATATAACTGGACTCCAGTATTCCAATTATATGTGTGTTGGACTGCTTAAAGGTGTCTAATGCTCTCTTCATTTTTCATCTTTTTTTCTCTAGGAGTTTTATTATGGATGGTTTCTATGGCTATGTCTTCAAGTTCGCTAATACTATTTTAGTGTTGAATCCACTGTTTATCCTACCTAATGTAATTTTAATTTCAGGCGTTGTAGTTTTCATTTCTGGAAGTTCTATTTGGGTCATTTTAATATATCTCATGTCTCTTTTTAATGTGCTTAATCTTTCCTCTATCTTCTTGAACATATGGAATATAGTTACAATAACTATAATGGCATGATCTCAGCTCACTGCAGCCTTGACCTCCCAGGCTCAAGAGATCCTCCCACCTCAGCCTCCTGAGTAGCCGGGACTACAGGAACGTGCTGCCACACCTGGATAACTTTTGTATTTCTTGTAGAGTTGGGGTTTCACCATGTTTCCCAGGCCGGTCTGGAACACCTGAGCTCAGGTGATCTGCCCACCTTGGCATCCCAAAGTGCTAGGATTATAGGCATGAGCCACTGAGCCTGAGCATAACTACATGTCTTAATGTCTTTCTCTACTAATTGTAACATCTTTATTGTTTCTGGGTCTGTTTCTACTGATCAATTTTTCTTTTCATTATGAGTTATATTTTCCTTCTTTGCATACCCAGTAATTTGGATTGGATGCCAGATATTGTAAATTTTACCTTGTTGGGTATTGGTTATTTTTATAGTCTCATAAGTATTTTTAACGTTTGTTCTAAGATACATGTAAATTACTTGAAAACAATTTGAAGCTTGCTTTTAAGCTTTGTGAGGTGGGATGAGAGCAGCCTTTCGTCTGAGGCTGATTTTTCTCACTACTGATTCCAGACTCCTAGCTCCATCTTCTCATCTAAGTGAGACCTCCTCTCTGCACGATGTCTTGGAAATTTTCCAGGCTGTGAGCTGGAACAATCATACAGCTCAACCTTATTTGCTTTCCCCCTCTTAAGGATCACTGTCCTGTGTTGTGTAACGCTCAATGTCTAAAAACTATACTTTCGGATATTTTGCCCATTTACTTTTTAGCATGTGTCAAGACAAGATCAATTAGGTCTTTATTACTCCACTTTGCCTAAAGTGAAAGTCTTGAACATTATAAAGTCTGAATGTGTTTGATGAGTAATATTTTTAGAAAACAAAATCAATTATATCTTGAATGATCAATTAAAGCTTCCTGAATGGTTTAAGACATTGAAATAAAATTTTCATCACCTATAAGTGTCAAAACAATTATAAATTTATACTCATAGTTTTCATATAACCCCTTAGTAAATGTCAAAGTTTCATTTCTTATTTATGAGGTAATCAGAAGAATGATAAAGCCAGTTAGGAAAGTGACACAAAGAGATGGCAAATGGTTGGGCGCAGTGGCTCACACCTGTAATCCCTGCACTTTGGGAGGCCAAAGTGGGTGGATCACTTGAGGTTAAGAGTTCGAGACCAGCCTGGGCAACATGGTGAAACTTCATCTCTACTGTAAACATAAAAATTAGCCGGGCATGGTGGCACACACCTGTAATCGCAGCTATTCAGGAGGCTGAGGCATGAGAATTGCTTGAACTTGGGAGGTGGAGGGTGCAGCCGAGATGGCACCATTGCACTCTAGCCTGGGTGACAGAGCAAGGCTCTGTCTCAAAAAAAAAGGTGGGGAAGGGGAGACAAATGACCTGTTAGAGGGAGGGAGGGAGGCAGAGAGAGAGAGAAAGGGAGAGAGGGAACAGAAAAATATGCTGGAATAAGATTGCTAAAATTACATACAAAACTGGTTAATGTCCCACTGGACAATAAAATTATAACCTTTAGGTTTATCATCTCAGCTGAACAGAAATAATTTTTATCTATATGGTAAAAATCTCATTTGTGTTATATTTATCCTGCACAAGTTAACATCAAATCCTTTACAGACTTAAAAATGTCTAGATCTTTAATAGAAGTAATAGTAAAAGTTACTTTCCATGAGAGGGTCAGATGATCCTTGGGTGGGCTAAAAGCAATGTTTTCATAAGGCATTGAATGGACACAAGTCATCTTTTTGCCTTATTTCCAAGTTTTGGGGAAAGACGTTTTAGACAATTTTTTTTTTTTTAAATCACAGGAATTACCTGTAAGTCAATGTTATCTGCCATTACCTAGCTGGCCACTCTGGGCCTACATTTGCTGATTAAATGAAAAGACAAAACTAGACTAGCGGTTTTTAATTGTGATTATGTGTTGGAATCACCTGGGTGAGGTTTTCAAAAATACGACAGAAACGGTCTCTTACCAGACCAACTAAATCAGGCGCTTTGATGGGGAAACCTCGGCATCACTAGGTTTTTAGAAAGCCCCCTAGCTATTCTAATGTGCGACTAGGGTTAAAAAACACTGGTCAGACCCCTTTCAATAAGAATGCACTGTGATTCTATGGTTTGAAGCACAGGCAAATCACTTCTGCACTGAAGAAAGTTGACATAAATACAAGCTCTGCTGACCTCAGTGCATTCCCAGTGACTTGGAAATGATTCAGGGCTCCCAGCATTCATTCCATGGTGTGGAAGCTGCAGGAAAAGCCAGGGGTGGGAGCACTGAATGACTGGCCTTTGTGTTCCAATTAGATACAGTCAGCTTGTGTTGTTAGAAAGAGATAGGAATGTCTGCAGCCAATTTCTTCCTTTTTTTTTTTAAAGATATATCAAAATTCATTTTGTGCCCCTGGCTCTCTATTGCTGACCTCATTCCTACTTCCAGAGCAGGTGCTCTTTCACACAGTTATTGGAGATGGCATTTCTGATTTAAGACTGTGCATTAGTAAATTAAGGCCATGACCAATAACATGCACAAAAATAGCGCAACAAGTATAAGTCTTTAAAATAACATTAAATAATGAAATTCTATTTCAGATTCTACTCCCTCATGCTTGTTATCCCCAAAAAGCATTTTTTGTAGTTTTTTAAAAAATGACAAAGCATTAAAAGCAAGAGTTTTTGAAACGCTTCATCCTACAGCTATGCCTGTAAGAAACACATAGGGCCTTTTTGCCTGTGCATGCTGCCGAAGAAGCATCATTAAAGTCTCTCTTCTCCCTGCCGTCATGTCTAAGTCAGAATCTCCTAAAGAGCCCAAACAGCTGAGGAAGCTCTTCATTGGAGGGTTGAGCTTTGAAACAACCGATGAGAGCCTGAAGTGCCATTTTGAGCAGTGGGGAATGCTCAGGTACTGCGTGGTAATGAGAGATCCAAACACAAAGCACTCCAGGGGTTTTGAGTTTGTCAACTATGCACTGTGGGGGAGGTGGATGCAGCCATGAATGCAAGGCCACACGAGGTGGATGGAAGAGCTGTGGAACCAAAGAGAGCTGTCTCAAGAGAAGATTCTCAAAGACCAAGTACCCACCTACCTGTGAAAAAGACATTTGTTGGTGGCATTAAAGAAGACACTGAAGAACATCACCTAAGAGATTATTTTGAAAAGTGTGGAAAAATTGAAGTGATTGAAATCATGACTTACTGAGACAGTGGCAAGAAAAGGGGCTTTGCCTTTGTAACTTTTGAAGATCAAGACTCCATGGATAAGATTGTTTTTCAGAAATACCATACTGTGAATGACCACAATTGTGAAGTTAGGAAAGCACTGTCAAAGCAGGAGATGGCTGGTGCTTCATCCAGCCAGAGGTCACAGTAGTTCTGGAAACTTTGGTCGTGGTCATGGAGGTGGTTTCAGTGGGAATGACAACTTTGGTTGTGGGGGAAACTTCAGTGGTTGTGGTGGCTTTGGTGGCAGCCATGGTGGTGGTGGATATGGTGGCAGTGGGAATGGCTATAATGGATTTGGTGATAATGGAAGCAATTTTGGAGATGGCGAAAGCTACAATGGTTTTGGCAATTACAGCAATCAGTCTTCAAATTTTGGACCCATAAAGGGAGGAACTTTGGAGGCAGAAGCTCTGGCCTCTATGGTGGTGGCGGCCAATACTTTGCCAAACCACAAAACCAATGTGGCTATGGCGGTTCCAGTAGCAGCAGTAGCTATGGCAGTGGCAGAAGATTTTAATTAGGAAACAAAGCTTAGCAGGAGAGGAGAGCCAGAGAAGTGACAGGGAAGCTACAGGTTACAACAGATTTGTGAACTCAGCCAAACACAGTGGTGGCAGGGCCTAGCTGCTACAAAGAAGACATGTTTTAGACAAATACTCATGTGTATGGGCAAAACACTCAAGAACTGTATTTGTGACTAATTGTATAACAGGTTATTTTAGTTTCTGTTCTTTGGAAAGTGTAAAGCATTTCAACAAAGGGTTTTAATGTAGTTTTTTTTTTTTTTTTTTTTTTTTTTTTTTTTTTTTTTTTTTTTTTTTTTTTTTTTGCACTCATGCTGTTGATTGCTAAATGTAATAATCTGATTGTGACACTAAATAAATGTCCTTTTAAAAAGAAAAAGAAACATGGCCGGGCGTGGTGGCTCATGCCTGTAATCACAGCACTTTTGGAGGCTGAGGCAGGTGGATCACGAGGTCAAGAGATCGAGACCATCCTGGCCAACATGGTGAAACCCCATCTCTACTAAAAAATACAAAAATTAGCTGGGTGTGATGGTGCGTGCCTGTAGTCCCAGCTACTCAGGAGGCTGAGGCAGGAGAATCACTTGAACCCAGGAGGCAAAGTTGCAGTGAGCCAAGATTGTGCCACTGCACTCCAGCCTAGTGACAGAGCCAGACTCCGTCTCAAAAACAAACAAACAAACAAAACAACAACAACAACAAAAAACACAGAGGATGTGTTATTAACTGGGCAAGCTGGAAATTAAAAGAAAAATTGTTTAACTTGATAACAGTTTTTAAAATAATCATAAACAGTGCTGATTTTTTCCAAATGAATTTTGGGCATCTTTCTTGATTATTGTTTGACTTCTTTCCTTTGATCTGTTAAGGTAGTGAATGTTAATAGATATCCAAATATTAAACTATCTTTTGACTTCTGGGATCAATACTATTTGATCATGATGGCTTATCCTTTCAATATTCTACTTGATTTCATTTATTTCCCTTCTGATACTTTTGAGGATAATAATCTTCTTTTTGTATAGCGAGTTGGATAGGGATGGTGTTAGTTTCATAATCATTTGATGGATTAGAAAACTGAGGCTGGGCATGGTGGCTCACGCCTGTAATCCCAGTACTTTGGGAGGGTGAGGCAGGTGGATCACGAGGTCAGGAGATCCAGCCTGTCCTGGTCAACATGGTGAAACCCCGTCTCTATTAAAAATACAAAAAATTAGCTAGGCGTGGTGGTACAGCTTGTAGTCCCAGCTACTCAGGAGGCTGAGGCAGGAGAATCTCCTGAACCTGGGAGGCGGAGGTTGAGGTGAACTGAGATCATGCCACTGCACCCCAGCCTGGTGACAGAGCGAGACTCCATCTCAAAAAAAAAAAAAAAAAAAAAAAAAGAAAAAGAGAAAAAACAGAAACATGGAGATAGTATATCTCCACTTATTATCCAAGGACAAATGCCACATAAGTGTTTGATTTTTGGCCCAGGGATTTTTGGTCTGTTCTCCACTAGGAAATTAATGTTTCATCAAGCAAATATGCCATCCACCAACTATTTCAGATAACCTCACAGTATTTCTCATAACCCAAGAGTAGTGTCTTAAAAACAAGATTTTCTATTTTAGCTACATCATCAATGCCATTTAAAATCCTAATTCCTAATGCCCTCCATTTTTTATTCTCCACGGTGACAGTTGTTATAACTATATCTAATGATGTGGGGGCCTGGAGTGGAAGCAGGAGGAGGTGGGAATAAGGAGGTCAGTAGGATGGTTGAGTCATTAGCTGAGCTCTCCAACCTCCTCCTGTACCATTCTCCCCTTTACTCACTAAATCCAGCCACACTGGCCTTCCTTCTGTTCTCTGAACTTTCCAAGTCCATTCCCAGCTTAGGGCCTTGGCCTTTGCTACCCCTCTGTTTAACACGATCTGCCCTAGACTCATGCATGGCTGGCTGTTTCCTTCGGTCAGGCCTCAGCTTAAATACTACCTCCTCAGAGAGGCCTTCTCTGACCTCCCATCTAAGTAGCAGATACCTATTCTACAGATTGTGTAACCATAATTCGAAAGTCCCAGATCCAAGATGTTCCAAAATCTGGAACTTTTTGAGTGCTAGCATGATGCTCAAAGGGAATGCTCATTGGAGCATTTTGGATGCCTGATTTTTGGATTCGGGTTGCTCAGCATGGGTAAACATAATTTAAATATCCCGAAATCTGAAAAAATACTGAATTCTGAAGTAATTCTGGTCTCAGGCATTTTAGATTCAGGATACCTAACCTGTATTAGTTTGCTAGGGCTGCCTAACAAAGTACCACAGACTGAGTGTCTTAAGCAACAGAAGCTGATTGTTTCACACTTCTGGAGGCTGGAAGTCTGAGATCAGGGTGCTGGCAGGCAGGCTTGGTTCCCTTCAATGGTTATGAGGGAGACTCTGCCCCAGTGTCTTTCCTGATAGCTTGTTACATCTTTTCTTTATGAGTGTCTCTGGGTCCAAATAAGAAGTTTACTGGGAGGTGATCCTGGTAGAGGAGGAGAGGGGTGAAGCAGAGGAAGGAAAGACGCCAACAAAGGTTGAGCACTATGGATAACTGGGGCTTAATCCTGCTGAGGGTCTTTGGGAGCCAGGGTGGAAATACACCCCGGAGTCATCTCCCCCAAGGGGCACCTGTGTTCACCATCAGCCATGGTTGGTCTGCTCCAGGGTGCTCATGGGCAGAGAGCTGCCCATGACTCTGGTGGCTAGAGAAAGGCCACAGGCAGAGTCGTTGGCTGCTGGAAGTCTAGGCCACCAGTGCCCACTGAAAGATAAGTCCTAGGGAGTAAAGACAGGGCAGCGACCGTGTCTGGGGCAGACAGGCAGTGAAGCTATGAGGAAAAATTTTCCCTACTTTCTCCCCTAGGAAGAAGAGGAAAAGTTCTGGATGAACATCCTCTTGAAAACTATTTTTGTATAAAATTCAAGTATAAAAGTACACAGTGAAAAGTGAAAGTATCCTTTTCTCACCACCCACCTCTGTCTTCTGTTGCACTTTCTTGTATATCCTTTTAGAGACAGTATAACGGTGTTGTGTGTGCGTGTGTGTGTGTACATGTTATGTAGGTAGGTATTACATATACACACACACACACATATTACAGGCACAGTTAATAAAAATATAAAATAAAAATATATGGAAGTTATTTATGTTTTTACATAAATTGCCCCACACAAGCAGTAGCATATAACATATTGTGCTCCTTTTACAAATGTATCTTAGGGGAACTTTTCATATTACTGCATGCAGTTTTGCCTCAATTTTTAAAATGGCTGCATAGCGCTCAATTTTATGGATGCACCACAATTTATTTAACATTTTTTTTTTTTTTGAGTTGGAGTCTCACTCTGTCACCAGGCTGGAGTGATCTCGGCTCACTGCAACCTCCAACTCCCTGGTTCAAGTGATTCTCCTGCCTCAGCCTCCCAAGTAGATGGGATTCCAGAAACGTGCCACCATGCCCAGCTAATTTTTGTATTTTAGTAGAGACAGGGCTTCTTTTTATTTTATTATTATTAGTTTTTGAGACAGAGTTTTGCTCTTGTTGCCCAGACTGGATTGCAATGGCGCGATCTCAGCTGTCTGCAACCTCCACCTCCCAGGTTCAAGTGATTCTTCTACCTCAGCCTCCCGAGTAGCTGGGATTACAGGCATGCGCCACCACGCCTAGAGACGAGGTTTCACTGTGTTGGCCAGCATGGTCTCCATCTCCTGACCTCATGATCTTCCCACAGCAGCCTCCCAAAGTGCTGGGATTACAGGCGTGAGCCACGATGCCCGGCCAACAAATATTTTAAGTTGTTTTAAATTTTTTTTTCTTCTGAACTAAGTATTTTGGTTCATGTGTTACTGAGAACATTCCTGGAATCTGTAGGGTAAGTGCCTAGGAATAGAACTGCTGGGTTGAATGACACATGCACCTGAAATATTGATAGATAGTGCAGAATTTCCTGGAACCAACATATACTCCCATGGAATTGACCATTAGGAGGCCAAAGAATGGAAGCGGAGGGATAGGGAGTAGAAGAGGAGGGTGGGGCAGTGAGACCTGGAATATCAGACATCAAGATTCTGGTGGCACAGTTCCTGCTGAGGACAAGGTCCAGGGTGTGCCTGCACCAGGAAGTGGATGGCATGGGAAAGAGTGCAGGCGAAGGTCAGTGAAGCAGAGGAAGTTAAAGTGCTATGAGGTGGTGGGTGACTCACCCCAATGATGTCAGCCCGTCCGTGCTGGTGACCTCTTCATCAGAACTGGAGAAATGTGGCTAGAGAAACCTTCAGCTTCCCTTTTAATGTAGCAGGGAAGAGCAAGCCGGATGCCCCCAGTCCACTGTTTACCCTGAGGAGCAGAGAAAAAACTCTTCACACTTGTGCTCTCTGAGAAGAAAGCACATCAATCAACTCGGCTGCCTCAGGGGACACGCCGTGATGTCTCCATATTTTATGATGGCATCTGTGACTCTGGGACAGGCAAGGCCGTTGCTGCAGATCCTCCAGCTTCACATGATTATGCCGGTGGACAACTCATTTCACATCTCAGGTCCTCTCCGTGTTTGTGACATTGTCAAAGCATCCCTGGCCTGGGGCACCCCTTTCTTGATAATAAAACCAATAGCAACAATGACAACAGTAGCGGTTAACATGCTGAATCTAACCTGAATCGATCAGGGGTTGTGTTCAGCCACAGGTAGCAGAGTCCTGAAAAACTCTGGTTTAAACCAGACCTGGGTTCTCATCTCCCTCAGGTAACATGAAGTTCAGGGATAAGCATCCCAGGAGAGACACAGCAGCTCTGCACTGTCTTTTGTGTCAGGAGCCTCCTGCCTCAGCCTCCCGAGTAGCTGGGACCACAGGCGTGTGCCACCATGCTCAGGTAATTTTTTTACTTTTATTTTTTGTAGAGATGAGGTCTTGCTCTGTTGACCAGGCTGGACTTGAACTCCTGTTCTCAATCTCCCGCCTTGGACTCC